GAGGGGGGGGGGGGGGAGGGAACAGAAAAGTCCAAAATCTATTCTGTCTAGATTTTGAAGCCAAAGGATCAGTAGTTAAACTATCTTTACAAAATGTCTCCCCCTAAAGTACCTGCAGAGCTAAGACAAAATAAAATAAAATAAAAATAGCCCTCCTTGATCATACCAAGGATCACTCTAGACTAGTATCCCACAATGGCCAACCAAATAGATGCCTATGGAAGACCTCCAAGCAGTTCATGAGGGCTGTGACCTTCTCATTCTGTTATCACACAGATATATATACAGTACAGTAGTTATCCTGGGAGTAGGTATAACAACTCTGCTTGGTTATCTTTTTGGCTCAAATATTCTGGGAATTCTAGTCCAAAAAAGTAACTTTCACTATCTCTAGTAGATATTACACCACCTTTTAGGATAGGGATGGGGATTTTTCCCCTTCCAGTTTTGACACCAACTCCCTAGTGGCCAGTGGTGAAGATTTATGAGAAGCATTTCAAAATCACCTGGAAGAGCAGATTTTTCCCATCTCCATTGTAGGAGCACATCTCAGAGTTTCACTAGGCATTGGATTAAACAGTGTTTCCTTTTGTCTGTCCTAAAACTCCAGTCTTTCACTTTCTTTATATGACATCAGATTCTAGAGTTTTGAGAAAACAGGAAAAGGTTTATTCTTTTTCTCCACATTGTGCACAATTTTATACACTTCTGTCATGTCCATCTTTAATTTTTCTTGGCTAAAACACCCCAATTATTGTAGCATTGCTAAAGAGTTACTCCATTCGTCAGTATGATTGCCCTTCTCTTCATTTGATTCGTGTCCATAATATTTCGTGGCCAAAACTGTCTACCATATTCTAAATACAATAATACCATCAAATTGCATAAAGACATTGTGATGTGGAAAGTTTTGTTTTATATCACTTTCTTAATGGTTGCGAACATGAGTCTAAATCATGTAAATAAAGTAAACCAACAGAATTACTCAAATTTACACAATTCTTACTTTACCAAAGCCCCATTGGTGCAATGGGCCTGTTTTAGTTGGGCCAATAATGGCATGGAGGCCTTGGAATCTACTGCTTTCACAATTACCACACACAACTGTTTGCACTGTTATGGAAACAAACCATGATGATAAAATCTGTCATAATTTAATTTTGTCCCAGTGATCGTGAACTTCAGCTCTATGAAAACTCTAACTTTGAACCCTACCTTCAGATTAGTGGCCTAGAAGCTATACCTCTGAATGTGGAGTATTGGTAAGCCATTGCAAATTCATGTCACATCAGTCAATACTAATTGCCTGTTTTCATATATGTTATTGTATTTATTATTAGGTTTATCTCATCTTCCACCTATAAAAAAAGTAGCATCTGGTGAGTCCCCTTCTGTGTCAGAGTTCCTTCGGCAGTTCATGGGCTTACCTTTCAGCAGCGGCAGATGTATGGAAAATGTCTTTCTATTTTATTTATATTTATTAATTAAAATGTTTCTAACCTGCCCTATATCCAGATATCTCAGGTCAAGGTAAAGACAAAGAAATAATTTTTGAAACCATCTCAACAATTTAAAGCAATTTATTTAAGGTCAAATAAAACAAACGGAAGGCAAACCCCACAAATCAACAAGACAAAACCAAGCCAGGGTGAGTGGACAGCAAAAGTTTGAATGAGCAGCCAAGTTTTTAATTTGATGCCAAAATCAGGCCAAAAATGGCACCAAACAAGCCTCTGTGAGAAAACCAGGGTGCCACAGCAAAGAAACCTCCCTCCTTTTTCTCCACGAAATGTATTGCCCTTCATGCCAAGACACAGTCTCCCTAACAAATCTCTAGGAATAAACAGGGAGACACACTCCCTCAGGTACCATGGTTAAAATTTCCTGTAATGCTTCAGAATTATATAACATCTAGTGCTTCAGGGCAAAATGGGAAATTTTAAATGGTGGCTTCCCAGGCTGGAAGGTTTAGAACACATGGCCCCACTAGCTACCCCCAAGTGCTAGGCCCTGATGACATCAAGTATGCCTGGGAATAGTAATAATGATTACAGCAGCAAGGATAATTTTTGCAAGGAACTGGAGAAATGATAATCAATTTAACTTGGAGGAATGGTATAGAGAATTATGGGACATGGCAATTAATGATAAACTGACATGTGATATGAAAATAAGTAGAGGCCAAATGAAAAATAATGATTTAAAGAGAATATGGAATGTATTTTTGGAACATGAATTTCGGAGAGGGAGGGGGTTTACACCGAGGAAAGAAACAATGAAATTTTCGAGTGAAAATGGATGGAACGAAGTGTAATGCTAGTCCTGAAGGTGGTGGGTGCACATGGGAAATTGTACTTTATTGTATAGTTTTGTTTTGTATTTTATATAGGGTTTTTTGTGTAGTAGTAGGTTTATTTTGTATTAATAAAATTTTTTTTAAAAAAGTATGCCTGGGTAAGGTAAATGAGTCCTAATGTTTCTTCCATGTTCAGGCTTCAGAAAACTGCAAGAGCACATAACCATAAAAATAATGTTTTATGACAAGCCATTGCATCAGAAGTGGCTGCTCAAACTTTAGCAGACCAGAGTCTTTTAAAGAAAGATGTTCAGAAAAAAACACCTCTATTTTAAGGAAAACATAAATGTTCTTTCTCTTTATTTTCAATTCAGCTACACAGATCATGATGAATGCATGATTCTTTATGGTGACGACGAGGCAAGTATTTTTTTAAAAGCTTTTAGCAAAGAATCTGAAAGTCAATGGGAAGGGAAGCTAGCCTGCAGCACCTCCTCCACAAGACCTAACAACAATAATATAATTAGATTCCTATTGATTGAGGTTGGTCTTGTTCTGCTCCTGTAATCTTTTAGCCATCAGGTAAGGACCTTTCCTTTAGACCAGCATTCGGATGAGCCTTTGGTAGTTGCTGAAGAGGCTTCTAAATGGATGGGGGCTTTGTTTTGTTTTATTCGTGAGTTTTGAACTATTTTAATTTCATTTGTTTTATTTAGTTTCGGGGAGAAAGGCAGGGTATCATTCCAATAAATTGGTCCCTAAATCCAGAATCTTAAATTGGATGTGAAAACTAGCTGGAAACTATATAGTGTGTCACTACATTATCTACAAACTGTAGTTTCTAAGCAGTTTTTGAGTAGAGCCACATGTAGAGTGTATTAGAATAAAAAACTAAGTAAGGCATAAACCAATAGGACTTGATCTACCTTCGCTGGGAAAGGGTATAGCTAATACCCCAGCTGTAGTTGGGTAGTGGTTTTCCTGGCCACAGCAGACACCTGGCCGTCTATGAACAATATTTGATGAATCTAGTCCTTCAGAGTAGATATAACCTCATCTAGAACAGGCTGTACCCCACAATCCCAGACTGGCTTGTCCAATGACTGACAGAACTCTATCCTGTTGCAACTGAGTTATGGCTGGCTTGCCCACATCCAGTTCCTCATTCCATACTGACAGAGGTTCAAGGTTTCCATAGCCTTCTCAGCATCAGCAGAAAAAGAAAGAGCTGGGCCTCATTAGTCTAGCAGTGAGACCTCACTGAAGACATCCCCTTCCCCGTTGCCTTAGTGTAAATATTAAGTACTGTAGGGAATAATACTAAACATGAAGAACTCCATGACCCTATGTTCAAAAGGCTGAGTGGTCATATTCCCATGACCACTGGGAACATTCTGGGAAGAAAAAGCCAAGCACGAGCAGAACCACCACAAAAGGAATGTCCCCAAATATGAGAATAGAACATCCAGAGAAGGATGCCATGACTAATACTGCTGGGAGGTTCAACAGAACCATGATGTTTTCATTCTGTCTTGTTCAGTTCCTAGAGAAGGTAATCTGCCAGGGCAGATAAAGCACTTTCTGTCTCAAAGCAACTCAGGATGACCCAGCCCACATTGCTGGTGAGCACGAGATACTGCTGGTTAGAAGGGGATATAATTTTCTCAAGGTTACTTCCTAGTTTATGAGTTATGCGTTCCAAGGTCGAAAGCATTGCAGTATCCAAGCGGAAATGTTTTGAGTTGTGTCAATGAGCAGTACGTATGTGAATCAAGAAGTGAGCCATTTGCAAAATCAGAGAGAACACAGGCACAGAATGTTTTATTATCATCTCATTAGTAACGTTTATCTCTTACCCTATGAAGTGGGTCAGGCTGAAAAAATGCAACTCTCCAAGATCACCCAGTGAAGTTAATGGATGCAGATTGAGCCCATGTTTCTCAATCTTATGACTATACTTTAACCTTAACTTTATTATTATTATGACCATAGGTCAGCCAAGGCTAAAATACAATAACAAAGCATATAGTATTTACAATTGATACAAAGCAGACTAAAATTCAGATTACAATTAAAGTTGAGTTCATAATCTGATTACTGCATTGATTTCGTCATCTGTTTCCTTATTGTACAATCTGCTGTACAGAATTTTGCAACCTTAGCTGTAATTTCACTTGAGGAATCAGAGAGGAGGAAAGATATCTAAAATTTATCAGGTCTGCCTGAAGGATGTTTTAAAATTGGGGAAATAGGTAGACTGCACAAATTGCTACAACATATGCAGTACAACAGGACACGTTCCACAGTTTCCACCATACCATGCAGGGGCAAAAACGTTGACTGTAAGGGGTATGTGAGCATATTCCTTCTGAACACCTTAACTGCTACATCACAGTTATTCGTGCAGTCCAAGATTTATACCTCAGAATCTTTAAATTGGCAAAGGCTTTTGTGGAGTACTTCTTAGATTCTCAAGTGTTGTAAATGCTATGGTATATTTAGGTTGTAAATGCTATAATCTCTCCTCGGCAAGAAGTGGATGCATCCAAAACCTAACTGTGGTAAACTGAGAAGTGCTGTGTGGGATGTTGAATCGTTTGTTTTAGAGGAACTAGGAAGGGAACAAGAGGAAAGGAAAGAACAATGTAAGTCTACCATGCCTCTTAACTTTCTGCCAGATACAGCTGCTATAGCTTTTTAACATGAAGAGACAGAAAATCAGTTCTGAACACTGACAAGACAGTGTTACAACCAAATGCCTCTCAAGATTCTGGCTGAAATCCTGTTGTTTTGTTACACATGCAGAAGGCAAATGGCATGACATACAGTTGCTTCTCAATGGCAATTAACTAGTAGCTCCTGGGATTCTTGAGTGTATGCCAAACCAGAGGCATGTGGACCCCACCAGCCAGCCATTAATTGTTCTTAATTAAAAAACACCAGCAACCACTCATTCATTCATTGCTAGCTAGAAGTGACTGAGTGTTGCACTATTTTCGTTCTGCATACATAACAAAGCCACAGGATTTGAACCTCTGTATTAAAAATCTCGAAGATGCACAGTGTGATCTTTCTTGTAATTTGTTTTCAACATTTGGACAAATTGCTATAATTTGGGCTATGTTTTTAATATTCTCAGCTTTCTTCTCTTTTTTGCTATTGCAGGGATGTGTCAATATTTTGCTCTTATGCTCTGTTGGCGAGATCCTCAGGCAAGTGCACAAATTTTTAAAATATAGGTCAAAATCCTATTGGTGGTCATATAGGGTACACGTAATTACAGTTAATTGATGAGACACTGGGGCATATCTCAATTATATGCCTGGTACACTCCCAATTAGCAACCAGGATGCACTCTGATACTTTGTCAAACAGCTCTAATTAACCATAGCATGGATATATATCTACGATATGCTTGTCTTCCTTAAACATGTTTCAGAACATGGAAGAAACTGCCCAAATTGGAAAATCTTCCCAATATTAGTCTCCAGAATGCAGCTCTTTCTCCAAATGTCACTTACATCCGTTGGAAAGTTCATGGTGATTGGATTACTCAGGTAAAATATTTGTCCTACAAAATAGACATAAGGGATTATAGAAGAGGGGATTATATTCAATTTGTTAGCATTGAATTTGTTTAATATTTCTTACACAATGTACTTACTCTGAGCTAGTATTTTTAATATGTCACTATGGGAAAAGCACTGATTCATTTGAAATGTGATGTTGGAGGAGATCTTAATGAATACCATGAACCACCAAAAACATAAATAATAGAGGCCTAGATTAAATTAAGCCTGAGCTCTCATTTGAAGCTAAAATGACTAAACTAGGCAATTGTACATCGGGCATATGGTGAGAATTCAAGACTTCATGAAAAAGAAAATAATTCCAAGAAGGATGAAAAACAGAAGGAAAAGAAGAAGTCTGAACATGAAATGGGCTGACTCCAGAAAGAAAGTCACAATCTTCAGTTTGCAAGATCTGTACAGAGCTGTTAATAATAGGACATTTTGGAAGTGATAAATTCATAGGGTCACCTTCATTCAGAAGTGACCTGGTGGCACATAATGACAACCTGATGTACTTAAAGACTTAATGCTTAGCATATACTCAGACCAGCTTTAGCCTTTCTTTTCAATAGATTGTTCTATGAAGGCAAATGAATGTTCACGATAAAGCATTCTTCTCACCTGTACTCTGGTCAAGCACTCTTGACCAGAGTACGGGTTGCTGACCTCTGAAGATGCCTGCCACAGAGACTGGCGAAATGTCAGGAAGAACAACCTTCAGAACACGGCCAAAGAGCCTGAAAAACCCAGAACAACCATTAGATCCCAGCCGTGAAAGCCTTCGCGAATACATTCTTCTCTAACTAGTATTCTATACCTAAGGAAATAAACAAACAATATTGTTCTCCTCTCTTTTTAGCTGAATTACTATGATTCTATTAAAGCAGTAATTTCTTCTTCAAGCCATGAACCCACAGCCTTAGTAATAGGTAATTATGGTATTGTTTTTAAATATCAAACATTGTTTCTGTGTGGAGTTTGCAATTCAATCTCTCTTCCCCCCCCTTGTGAATTTACTGTGCCCCACTCACACTGCCTTCACAGCTAGCCATCTGATCAGTCATGCAATTGCCAGGGAGAGTTGGGTGTCACAGGAACTCCTTTTTGCTGCCTTTTCAGCCAATGGTTCCTGCATGTGGAAGCAGGAATTATATAAATTTTTTAATTAAAAGATAATATCCTTCTATTTGATTACTTGATTCTGTGTCAAAGACTGAGTAATATGAATAATATTTTAGTTAGTGGATGGTTGTTTTGAGCAGATGTGTTTTGTTCTTTCCATATTTTTAGGGGAAACTGTGAACCTGGTTTCTCGGTTGCTATATATATATATAAATAATCATTTCAAAGGAAGGGAGAGATTAAAAAAACTGAAATGTGAGCTGCATGGTGACTCTGCAGCATCCTGAATTACACTGACATTATCTAATAAAGGGCACCAACTCTTTTAAAACAGCCTGCCAATATTCATGTTACTTAACTTTGCCTTGTTCTTAAATATTAGTTTAGTTTTGTTTGATTGATTGTTTGTTGCCTTCTGGTCTCAGCTGGGTTCCTGAGCTCTGTGCATGTACAGTATTTGAACTGAACAGGCTCAAATCCCTTCTGTATTAGATTCTTTTCTCATTTGCCTAATTAGTTTCTCGCTTATCTGTCTGTCTGTCTATCTGTTTATCTGCATGTTTTTCTCTTGTCATAAAAGGCATTTTCATGTAGCACAGGGATAAAACTTACTTGCATAATAATAATGATCTATCATACGTCTGCTTTGCAGTAGATATTGTTAGCTTATCAGTACTGTAATAGACTGAGTAATATGAATAATATTTTAGTTAGTGGATGGTTGTTTTGAGCAGATGTGTTTTGTTCTTTCCATATTTTTAGGGGAAACTGTGAACCTGGTTTCTCGGTTGCTATATATATATATAAATAATCATTTCAAAGGAAGGGAGAGATTAAAAAAACTGAAATGTGAGCTGCATGGTGACTCTGCAGCATCCTGAATTACACTGACATTATCTAATAAAGAGCACCAACACTTTTAAAACAGCCTGCCAATATTCTTGTTACTTAACTTTGCCTTGTTCTCAAATATTAGTTTAGTTTTGTTTGTTTGTTTGTTGCTTTCTGGTCTCAGCTGGGTTCCTGAGCTCTGTGCATGTACAGTATTTGAATTGAACAGACTCACATCCCTTCAGTGTTAGATTCTTTTCTCATTTGCCTAATTAGTTTCTCGCTTATCTGTCTGTCTGTCTATCTGTTTATCTGCATGTTTTTCTCTTGTCATAAAAGGCATTTTCATGTAGCACAGGGATAAAACCTACTTGCATAATAATAATGACCTATCATACGTCTGCTTTGCAGCAGATATTGTTAGCTTATCAGTACTGTACATTCGACATAATGATTCTGAGAAGCTCATTGCAGCTTCATTTAGTAATTCCTTTATTTTTTTTCCCCTTCCATACAAATTTTTCTATGCACAGATGCTTTAAACACATGAAAACATTGTAGTGTGTTCAAATTCGTGACCCACACACAAACAGTAATTGGCTTTGTATGTCTTTATTGGCCTTCTCCTTAACTGCTGATTATTGGCCTTATCATAAGGATGGGGAACATGTGCCCACTGCCAAATATCTCTTTTAGACTGTGGTTCCTATGACTCTTCACTGTGGGTTGTTCTGGCAACGTCTTGAAGGCAGACAGATGTTTTCCACACCTGCTCTGTGATCAGGCTGAGTCATGTGAAGTATTCTACATGGGTGGAAAGTTTAGGGCTCTCTGTTTCACCCCTGTAACACAACCCCATGTACATGTGAGGCAATAGTAATTTCAAAATGCTACTGTGAACTGACAGGAGTTCCCTTCTACCTATTGGTTATGCTTGAAAGTGGCATGCATCCCTGAGGGCTCATTAGCCAGACTGAGGTGGTTAAGCTCAAAAGGCACAGCACGAGGGGTGGAGGGATGGTGGAGCAGTCCTGCTGCTGGTCTCATTTTCCTCGCTGCCACCCATCTGCCTACATTGCTCAGATACTTGTTTCTCAGAGGAGGATGAGAAGAAGGGTGGGTAATGGCGAGGAGGGTGGTGACCATGCTTTGCTCCCCATTGCTGCAGCCACCTACCTGCTTAACCTGGCTGCCCCTCTGTTGTCTAGGTAAGTAACTCCTGGCCCCAAAATTCTTCAGTACCAAGGTATTGTAGAGAAGGGTAGCAAAAAAAATCAAAGCAACAAGACAAGACCAAGAGTCTGTGTGCAATAAACTCCTTCTCTTCCTTCTCTTTCCTGGCAGGCATTGCAGAGTAACAAGTGCAATCCATTTTGAGATTTCTGTTTGCTGTAGTCCATAATAAAGAGAAGATCTCTTGTAATCACTGCCTATTACCAAACCTCATAGCACCTCTTATTTGCTATAATTCCCTTCTACACTGAGCAATATGTAAAATCATGCATTCTACTGTGAGCAGAAATTGCCTTATCTTTAAGAACTTTGTATAGATTCTGTTATCTGCTGAAGGACATTCTATGGTAAACCATAGAAGACAGTATTGATATTAAAATGTTGGGAAATCTGAAAATCCATGCACTGCAAGCATTTGTCTTCTGTTTCTTTCATTTTGTTTGTGGGTAAATGCAGCACCCTAAGACATATTGATGTTCATTCTGAATAACAGTGTTACAAGGAGTTTGGTGCCTAAAACAGACCTATATCCTCCTGCAGGTTGCGTTGTGGGAGCTACCAATGTTGAGCAACAGATGAAAGAACTAAAAGAGCACAGAAAAGATTCAAAGACAAGGAAAGTGCAATCCGTCTTAGGCACTCCCTCCCACAGAGCCGAGGGAGATCAGATTGTTTTTCGAGTCCATAAAGGAGTCAGAGCTTTTGCACTTAGTAAAAAGAATAACCTCATCATAACTGGTGGGATGGATCGAATCATTCGGATGTGGAATCCATATATGACTGGGTAAGATGTATTTGCAGCAATTTTTGGAAGGCTGTGTTATTGTCATCTTCAGACCCACCCATGAACCATGAAAATATTTGCAGAACAGATCAATGGATGTAGTTTTTCATAGAGTGGTCTTAATCGACTAGATAGGCGGGATATAAATAGAATAAATAAATAAATAATAAATAAATAAACGTGTTAATAGTCCACAATGAAATCTATACACTCTTTAAAATGAATGAATTCTAGACACTCTTACTGATTTGGAGACGATGTGGTAGTTATCACAATGATACACATCCACCTACAGTAATACCTTATGCTCTCTTAGGAACACAGGACACTGCCTTATTCCAGGTCACATGATTTCCTAGCACTTACCCATTTTCCTCATTCTGAAATTGGAAAATGTCTTTCCTTAGAGTTTACTGCCACCAGAGAAATCCTCAAGCTAAAATATGCTGGTATTGTTCATCCCACCCTTTTCTTTTCACTTCACTCACTGCTGAAACATGGGTCCCAAGAGCCCATGTGAAGCTGAATGTGTCCCTCTGGCTAAAAGAGGTTCCACATTTTTATAGTACTACAATCACATCACTCATGTTTGTTTACTGTTGAATTACAGCAGTGTCAGCGCTGATGACTCATTTCTGTGTTTTATTTCATGTTTTGTTTGAAGCTGCTCAGTGTTTAATATTCTGATCCAATTCCAGACGGCCAACTGGCATGCTCAGAGGCCACATGGCCCCTATATTCTACGTCCACATATCGGAAGAGGACAAAATATTTTCTGTATCAACAGACAACACAGTTAAGGTCTGTCTTTTGCTTTTTGTGTTATGCTTGTCATTTTTCCTTGCTTTCTGTTTAGAAGGTCACAGTTCTTTCCTTGCAGATATGGGACGTTGAGGACCAGACATGCTTATTCACAACCTGTGCAAAAAACAATGGAATTAAAGGGGAGATTAGTGCTTGTCATTATGTATCAGGCACCAGATTACTCTGTCTAGCCACAGATACACTGGCTGTTCTCCACTTAAGATCACGGTAAGAAAAGGGAAAATCGCTAGAACCTGAAAACTACAAACATTTGAAATGGCATGACGTGCACCTAGGAAATTAACTTTTTGAGAGCTGAGTGCAGAAAATAATATGTTTTTATTACTATTACTTCTCTAAACAAGTAGATTTATAGCGTTCAAAGAAACATTAATAAATAGTTTCAGGTTGGATTACACAGGGAAATAGATTGCATTTTGGACTGTTTGTGGAGGGGTCTAATGTGATCTGTGTCCTAGCGATTTGCACCTTCCTCCCATCTGATTACATCTTGAGTTATTGTTTCAGGTAGTTCTCCTTTCAAGCGTCAGTTGTGTTGTGTTAACACATGAAGAACATACCAGTACTCATGTAGATCAACATTAGTCTAAATAGCAAATAGTATTTATTGGAATCAATGCAGATGATGCAATCAATCAATCAATCAATCAAGGTTTGCTTTCTTTTACGATGCCCACCTCCAAAGCAAGATGTGCTGCTTACATACCACCCCATATAACTTAAAGCACCATCTGGGCACTTCATGATGCAATCAATCAATCAATCAATCAAGTTTTGCTTTCTTTTACAATGCCCACCTCCAAAGCAAGATGGGTACTCAGTTTACCAAGCACAGTTTAATTATGCAGGCTACGCATTGTACACATAGGTGAGCTGGGTACTCAGTTTACCAACCTCAGAAGGATGGAAGGTTAGGCCAACCATGAGCTGGCTACCTGAGCCCACGATCAAACTCAAGTTATGAGCAGAGTCTTAATTGCAGTACTGCAATTGAGGCTCCTCTATGTTTTTCCATCATCAGGTTCAGAGCTGAATCATATCCTCCCATCCAGATAATGGATAGAACTGCACTCCTACTGCATATACTTCAATAATTTCTTTTAATTTTTATTCTCCACAAGCCAGATTACCTTCAGATCCTTACATGGTGATTTCCCATAAGAAACCAGTGTTGTGTTGCAAATTCAACAAGGTATTCCGGCATGTTGTGAGTTGCTCAGAGGACTCTGTAAGTGAAATGATGGTGTAAGACAAAGTTCTCTCCATATGTTTCCCCACTTTGACTTTATAGCGAAACAAGCTATTTATATGCATATATTATTGTTGAATCCAGATTTAATCATGCTTGGAGCAGAGCTATTGAAGTCATTGGGACCAAATCATTTAACTAACAACACTGTTAAATCAATATGTAATGACATCCAGAAGACCTCCTTCAAGCTCCTTTGCCTTTGGAGGCTAGTGGGAAATGGATCAAGGTTGAGCTAGCCTTCTTCTTGCATTGTTAAAACTGTGGAGTTTGCTACCAAAGGTTTAATGCCTACCAATATAAAGGGCTTTAATGGAGGATTAAATAAGTTAATGGAAGATATGGCTTGTGGAGAGAGAGGGTTTTTTTGTTTGTTTGTTTGTTTGTTTTACTTTTTGCACATTTTTCATGCAAATCTGTGGGTTTTTTGTTTGTTTGTTTGTTTGACTTTTTGCACATTTTTTCATGCAAATCTGTGAAAATAAGAGTCAAATCAGATCAATAATTACTATGTCATCAGCAAATGTAACTACATTAGTGTTTAAAAGGTACAAGACCGCAATTACTATGTCATCAGCAAATGTAACTACTGTATATTAGTGTTTAAAAGGTACAAGACCGAACAATCAGAATGCAAATGAAGCCCATGTTTAACACCAGATGACCACTTACAAAACAAAATAAGCTAATTTGCCAGCTGCAAATCAAAGAAATGAAGCCCATGTTTAACACCAGATGACTACTTACAAAACAAAATAAGCTTGTGCAGTGACTATCAGACTTCTGAAGATAAGATCATTGCTTCTGACAATGTGCTCTCTGTTGTATCTGTTTTGACCTCAAGTCTTCATCCAGAGATTGTTCTACAGATCCTCCTTTCGTTTGCACAGTAAAATACACAAGCCTGTGCCATGGCTGTTCCATTGCCCTGACTCAATCTCTTTTTGCTTGTGATTACCATCTGTGTATAGAAAGTCACCATATACCAAGCCACTCCACTGGCCCATCTAACTGTTGACAGTGACTACTAGCATTCCTTCTCTAGAGTCTCAGATGGGGTTATTTCCTAGCTGTATCTAGCGCTATGATGGATTGAACCTGGGGCATTCTGCATGCAAAGCAGTAGCATGAACTACTGATCTTCCTTTGTCATGACATGGTGACTGTTTGTTCAAACACAGCAGGCTTTCAGATCTGTTTATTCATACGCTTTTTAAATGTTTGTGTGTTTTTAAAGGTGGTCAAGGTATGGGATTTTGAAAGTGGAAAGCCCTTGTTTGAATTTGGTAAAGCTCATGGCAGCTCTGCTATCACTTGTCTCACTTTTGATTCTAGTGGGAGGAGGTATGTTTACAAATGTACCCTTTGAAGTATTCTGTGTACATTTTTTTCTGTGTAAACAGTCCCCCTCCACCCATGTAGAAGGAATAGTGATATACTTTTAAAATCACCTTCTAGACTAATCACGGGAGGAAGAGATGGCTGTTTGAAAATCTGGAATTACAACAGTGGGCAATGTTTGAAGACTTTAAAAAGGGGTAAGAAATCTACGTACTTGCTGGTTAAGAGCTGGAAATTTTATGTCAACAATAATCTTGTACTGCTTGGATGCTTCAATGTTTCTGCATTTTTCTTCCCTGCAGAAGACAGAAGTGAGGAAGTCTGTGACTGCACTTATGTGGAGGTGAACAAAAATAAGTAAGCAACCAAGAGCATCAACACATCTTGCTGCAAGACATGTTATCTTAGATCAAGGATAGCTAGCTTCTGTATTACCAGGCACCTTGCTATTCTCCAGACGACTGGTTGACAGCCTGACATGCATTTTTGCCACACTTAGGGCTGAACTGCCTGTTAGAGACAACTCATCATTAAAGGGAACTCCTTAAGTGCTAATTGCACGTAATAATTGCAGCAGATAATTATCTGCAACAGATAATAATCGCTTGTCTCATCTCCTGTAGTTTGCAGATCAGCTTTCTTTGTTGTTCGTTGATCTTCAAAACTAGACCATGTTTTCCCCATACAAGTGTGATTTTTCAGACACAAGTTCCTGAAGAATAACCTGATTTCAGCTCTAATGATGAGCTATTCGTATCTGTAAAACAGTCCCAAAGAGATCTTTTTGTGAGTGCTTGTTATGAACAAAACTTACAAAAGAATATTTCAAGATCACAGCTCCTAGAGGCTTCCAGAGAGTATTGGTGAGGACTATGATAGTAATATTCCAGAAAAGTAACTTTTCCAAGCTCTGATGTCTTAAATTAAGCCAAACTGTTACATCATTCTGCCAAGTTTTATGTGGTCATAATTCATCTAAACAATAGAAGTAGTGGCTGTTGGCTTTTTCTGAACTCCTTCCTATCTACCGAAGATGCTATCTTTCTTCTAGAAAAAAAGGTATCAGTTGTTAAGCTGTATACTTTCTCTCTGTGGAAACAGAAGCTCAGTTACTGAGTTATGGGACTTACTGTCTATCTCTTGTGCTTCAGCAAAGGTTTGATATGCAGACATCAGCAGTTTAGAGACATGAAGGGGCTAAACTTAAGTCATGGTTACACTACTGTATTGAAATAAATCAGGGGATGGACCGTGCGGGGGTTTGAATTTGGTCTAAAGCCACATGGTAGTCACATGGTTTTTGGGTCGGTAGGTGTGTTCTCTTGGGAAAAATTTAAATCATTTTAAGCTGTCTTGTATATTGTTGGAGCAGGCTGCAGGGCCTTTTAAAACCATTGTATCTGAGGCTTTGTCCTGCACCCGCCCACTCTTGTGCTGGCGGCTTCTCACAGCCACTAGCCATTGTCTCTGTGGTGTTATTTTAAATCATTGTTTAATTTTTTCCATTGTATCTGAGGCTTTGTCCTGCACCCGCCCACTCTTGTGCTGGTGACCTCTCACAGCCACTAGCCATTGTTTCTGTGGTGTTATTTTAAATCATTGTTTAATTTTTAAAATTAAAGGCACAGTGCTAGCATAGAAAAACAGATAGGAAAAAAAATTAAAACAGAGGTTTCCCTGCAGCCAGATACAAGCCTATGGAGACTGATTTGAGTAACCCAAGGTTAAGAACCAGTGTTTTAAATCATTGTTTAATTTTTAAAATTAAAGGCACAGTGCTAGCATAGAAAAACAGATAGGAAAAAAAATTAAAACAGAGGTTTCCCTGCAGCCAGATACAAGCCTATGGAGACAGCTAGACAGACACAGAGGTAGTGGAGAAGAAGAGGGAGCAAAGGAGCAGATCCACTAGGCTTGTGAAGGAGAGGCCAGGGCTGAAACTGGCCAGAGACATTGACTAGGCTTGTGAAAGTGAGGGAGCGTGGAAGGCACAATAGCCAGTGGCAACCCTGCCCAAACAATTTACACAGAGAGAGGCATTCATGTATGTCAAAACGATTCAAAATAAAGTGATTTTTACAAGTGATTTGAAATAAAAAATTCCCTCACAGCCAAGTGAAATACTTGGCTTTCCAACAACAACAAAACACTTACCAGGCAAAAAAAAATCCATGCTTCCATGTGTGTCATGTAGGCATCTTTTTTTCCAACAACAACAAAACACTTACCAGGCCAAAAAAAATCCATGCTTCCATGTATGTCATGTAGGCATCTTTTTAAAAAAAATAATACCAAACATGCTAAACCCGATTCAAACATAGTTCCCCCCACCATCTAATCACACTCACACACTCATAGTCATTTAATTGCTGCATGTAGTGCTGTTATAGAAGGGAAAAGGAACCATTTTTAATTGTCAAATATATCTGTTAATATTTATATATTAATTCTTCTTCCAGGTATATCATAGGAGTTGGATGGGACAGAAGAATAAACCTATTTTATGTAAGTAGCGAAACAAGAGCAGAAACAAATTGTGTCAACTCTCAGTTCTGCATTCACATTGCTACACTGCACTTCTTGTCCTTACTTGTGTAAAACTAATATGCACATTTGCATGCTTTAATTTGGATATTGATTTGTTTTAGGATTCCGCAGACAGCATGCTTCATTTTCAGACCCCTCAAGCCTCCTGGCAGGATGATATAGTAAGACCATCTCATTGTGCTTTAAATTTAAAATGTTTTGTATGTATTAAAAATATTAGTTGATGTTGCACGCAAGGGATGATTATGATGATGGTGATGATAATAATAATAATGCATATAAGTGATGTTGAGGGCTATGCAGACCATGTTTACACAAAATTAAGTCCTATTGACTTAGTGAGGCTTTTGTCTAGCAAATTTGTTTGGGATTGCTCTGTAAATGTAGGTAGAAAAAAGTAGCCATATGGTCTATCTGTGCAAACAAAATCCTTGACTGAGTAATATCTTTGCTGAATCGAGGAAAATTAACAAATGAGGCAAGTTTGTGAGTTCTTTGTAACTCTTCCTTAGATGTCAATGGTGTTCAGACTGCAGTAGGGGATGAGGGAAAGCTTTTGAAAAACTATCTTTATATTCAAAACAACAATAGCCTTGTAAATCAGTTTTCATAGGTAAGGCGCACGGGCTTACAAGGTAGATTTGATTTAAATTAAATGGATTTAAATCACTGCAGGGTGTATAAAAATCAATGATTTTATTAAATTATTTTATATCTGATTTGAAGAAAAATTTAATTTAAATATAATCTGATTTGAATTTTAAAATCTTTTTTTAAAAAATGTAAAACATTGATTTTTATCCACTTTGCAGTGATTTAAATGATGATTTAAACTCATATGATTTAAATTAAATCTGGGCATAGAACAATAACACCAGAAACAATATCCAGGCTTTATGCCACAAAACAGAAGATGAGATTTATATTCCTACAGAAAATCTAATTACTGTCTAAATGGTAGTCAGACCTAGTGACTGGAAGAGACTAAATCCACAATTTGGCAATGTGATAGTAATCCGATTGTTTTGGAAATGACTTTTTCATCCTATATTTATGGGAGAGTTATCAAATATGGCTTGATATTCAAATAATGGCTTCAAGGTGTGTCTACTGGAACTTTTGCCTCCCCCTCCCAAGCTTTTATTGGTGTGCCATGCAGCTTGGTGGTTGGGAAATATTAACTGAGAATAGCCAAGTTTCAATTCATTTCAGATGCATGCTTTGTGTGTATTTGTACACATTTTCCTATATCCAAATATACACAAGGCTCATTTGAAATGAAGCTAGTTGTGCTTGATTGTAAGACTGTGAGCTACTGTCAAATACAGGTTGTCAGTTTTCCTATAGAGGATGTTTGCTTGTAACTTTAGAAAGAGAGCACAGTAAGGTGTGTCTCTGAGTCAAAATCCACTGAGCTTCCTGTAATTCATTTATTCATGTATTTGTTACACTTTAATTTGTTACAATTTTTAAACTGTTAGAAAAATGAACTAAATGGAACTTGGAAGTCATGTACATTTCCACTGATAGTAATTTGTCTACCAGATTCAATTTATGGTGTTGTAGTATTGTTGTTGTAGTAACCATACTGATAGTAATTTGTCTACCAGATTCAATCTATGGTGTTGTAGTATTGTTGTTGTAGTTTAAGATTCAGGCCTGGCTACTGATTGTAGTACTTCTATCTAATATGGGACTTGTTTGCGTTACTGAATGACCTGTTGATTCATGCATTTGCATGAAATACAGTTGAAAAACAACTGTGAAACATGAGGAATATGGAACATAATGACTTCCTTCAGTTTTTCTTTTTCTTTTTCTCCAGAATCGGGGACATAAGGAAGACATTCTGTGTGTTGCACAGTGTCCACCTGCTCTCCTTGCCACATCCAGTTATGATGGTGAAATTATTGTTTGGAATATGCACTCAGGTCACATATGCCATAAATTCCACACTCCAATTACTCCTTCCGCTCTTGGTACCGAATGTAAGTTTACCAAGAAAGATTGCTGAAAACAATCCCCACCTCAGTATGAATCATTCTGTATGAATTGTGGCAAATGGGACTAAATGGAAATGGAAAATGCTGGAAAGGTTTGAAGAGGAAGCCTATCCCAACTTTTTTTTTACTGTCAAGTAGGCCTGATGTGGTGAAAGCATACCAGTTTCTATCACACAAGGGTGCCATGTGATCAGCCCAATAAAAGTTTTTATGGGTTTGTTTGTTATACTTCTAGTTATTTCCTGTTTTACTGATGGGTGTATAGGAAGTAAACTTCCCTCTGGTTTAAATACTTAGCTCTTAAAACTAAGCGTCCAGATTACTTGTCCAATGTTAGCCCTTCCAAATCATATTCTGAGGTTATTTCTGTAATGATCTGTAAATATAAGGCTTGATTTCTAATCAAACCAAAACAATCACTGGCTGTACCGTAGGATGACACTGAACTACTTTAGCACAAACAGCTCTTTCAGTGATGGCCAGAAGTCATGCTACATATACAGAATTGAAAGGAAAACCCTGTGGAGGTAATCTTTACTAGAAAGCTAAGTGGGCAGGGCTGGATAACAGTGTGGGATTTTTATAATAAGTTAAAGCATGAAAGGCTAAATTACCATATTTTTCTGTGTATAAGACTCCTCCAATTTTCTGACCCAAAATTAAGAAATCAATATTTTAAACGTAAAACATAATACATTTTTGTAGTTAGGTAACATCATACCAGTACTGTCATCTTATGCCTCACACTTTAACTTTATTCAGCCTCTGGGCTCAGAATGCTTGGGCATTACGAGTCCCTGTCGCATCTGAGCACTGCCTGCATGCTCTACCTACAACGAGGTGTGTTCCAATTGGTTTGTTTAGCATCAGCTGATGTCAGTTCCATGAGGCTCGTGATTGGAGGAAGCTACGTCTCCTGACTGTAGGAAGCTAAGCCTTATGATTGGAGGCAGCCTGTTTACAGAGGCAAGGCACGGCCCGTTTTGTTCTCTCCTCAGCTTACTTCCGTGTATAAGATGACCCTCAATTTTTTAGTCTAAAGATTTGACAAAAGTATCATCTTATACATGGAAAAATATGGTAAACGTCTACATTAGAAAATGAGATTTAAAAACAGGCCAAGACCATCTCAACAAACCTTACATTTTATTTTTTAATCTTAAATTAGATGCAGTTGGGCTTCAGTCGATGGAAGCTTATGACAAATGAGACTTGTCACATGACTCTTAGGGGCAAGGCACTGTTAGAGGGATGACCAAAATCCCCTGTGCCATAGTGGGTAGTGCCAAGACTGCTGCTGTCACACGTTTGGGTTTTTTTTTTCCAGTGACAGTGACGACCTCCTCTTTCTCCTCTAAATGTTTGAGAGGGATAAAAGTGGTAACGGGTAGTGCAGTGAGAAGGAGGCCCTTCTCTTCCCATGGTGGGAGATTCTGGACCTTAAGTGTCCAAAACAATGAAGACCAGCAGCCTTTTGAGGATGTCCATGTACTGTATATAATTAATGTTAAACAGTTGGGCTATTTGGTGAGGTGTCTATTGTGCAACTGGTTATGGAACTGACTGCACAATAAAATTAAAAATTGTGCCAAATTCACAAAGCAGAGTGCCCTTTGTCAGTTTCTAGAAAGGAAAGAATTTGAGATTGAGCCTCTAAAATCTATGGCAGGTAGAAATTAAATGTCTGGGATGTTGTGCACCTGTGTAGAGCTTATTGTAGTATTCTGAACACTTCTTAAGAGTGAATGACATTTTCTTTCAAGTGAGTAAATGCTGTCTTTTTTGCCTTTCCTAGCTATAGATGGAACTGTTACTCAAGTAATTTTTCTAATGACTCGTGCTGTGAAATTTGAATCATCCGCAGCCTCTCTTCTTTCCAATGGGCCACAAGGTATGATGAAACATTTAGTCAGTAATATGCAGAACAACCCTAGGCAGGGGTAGACAGAGTTAAGTGGCAAGTCATCTAAGA